CATCCATAGCAACCGAGCGACGTTATCCATAGCAACCGAGCGACGTTATCCATAGCAACCGAGCGACGTCATCCATAGCAACCGAACTGTCGCGCGGATAAGAGGCGGTGATCCGCAAGCGCCGGAAAACTAACCCTATTATCAGTTACACGGATAATGTGGTTAATAGGATCTACCCCTGGGTGTGCCCCTCACTCGGCCAATATCAAATCTGTTAGTGCCTTGAGAAGAAACGTCTGTTAACAATAACATTCGGCTGTTTAAAAAAAAAACATTTTTCAAGGCAGCAAAATTGGAGGGGCCAAATGAACGGTTCAACTAGGCCTGTTAAGGATAGTGGTCGCCTTAACTAATCTGCTTGTATTTTGTTTTTAATGTTACTCTTTACATATATATTACCTGCATTGTCCAGTTTATATATAAAAAAGCAAATCATACCGCAACCCTGACGTGCAGTTTGTCATGTTTGGTGAACGAAGCCGTACCGCCCGCGCACCAACGCTCGCGATCATTGCGGTGTTGTCACGTAGCAGTCTTCAAAGGGAACTCGATAGCATATTTGTAAACCATGCCAGAACGTGGCTTTTTACAAAGTCCACGGTTTTGCGTTTTAAGGCTCGTGGCACCCCGGAGTTCAACAATTCCGCGTGTTGTGAAGTTGGTCGAGTGAGAAATCACTCGGCGACTTTTCATGGCCACCTCGTGTGTTTCTGCGACTTCTCGCGACGACTCTTAATATTACGACAGGAGTACTGTAACTAGGCTCTTTGTCTGTGACTACCTCCACTAAGATAGGCCAACTCGCTGCTGAAAAGTATTACCGATCATCGTACTGCCCTTTGTCAAGCCACTGCTAGATTAGGGCCATTCCTGAATCCAGCAGTTTGAAAACTCATTTCTTTCGAGCTGCTTTTTGTGTTTTAGTTTGTCGTCCTTCCCCCGCACCTCCCATGAGCACGGTTGGTTACGTACGGTGCAAAATAATTTCAACATGCATACATGGACTCACACAGAGACCCATAGTTTGTCGTCCTTCCCCCGCACCTCCGATTAGCACGGTTGCCTACGTACGGTGCGAAAGACGTTCAACATACGTATATCTCACTCCCGTAAGTATCGTGGTGGGGGGATTATTTGACCATGCTTCACCATGCTGGTCAGTGCAGGTTGGTGATGCCGCGGGGTGCATAGACATCTCCATATATATAAAAATAAAGTTGTGAATATGTGCGTGTTCAAAATGTTTAGCGTACTTCCCGACATGCAACAAACTTGAGATTTGCCATGTGGGTATTTTCCAGACTGTACACCATGCAAACATAAAAATACACTTTTTTTTAGGGGGGGGGGGGAGCTCAATAATGCATATCTTTTTTCCACGGCAAGTGAGCTGTGACGTCAAATCGGTCACGTGACCCACGCACGTGGAAGCGGAACGCATTGGAGTGTAGTGGTTAGCGCGCCGCGCTACGAACCCGGTGACCCGAGTTCGATTCCTGCTCGCGGCCACCACCGCTGACGATTATCTTAACCGGTCCTGGGCCTCCCCTAGGTCGACTCAGCCTCAAACGAGTAACTGCTGTGGTGTGTGAACATCGCCATTGGAGAGACAAAGGCAGCCGGGCATGGTGGATCCAAGTCCCGGGCGAAGCCGGGTAGTACAGCTAGTACGGTATAAGTTTCTAAGAACATTGCAACAATGGATTTGTCTGCACTGCCCTCTGCTGTCCACCACGTAGCTCCGCAGCTGCCTGTAGCAACCGGTAAAAAAAATATTCAAACAAATTGTGGCCGCCCATCCAAGACCGATGATCCCACATTCACACCTGCCCCCCGGCATCTGAGATTTGACCTTCCGCCACTTTGTTTAAACGTCGTGCTCCGTAAGCGGCATGGTCGCTGTGCTTTTTTTCCCCCCAACGTGCATTTAATAAAAAAAACAAATAGAATTTTCTATTTCGTTTGAAAAAAAATGCGCACTTCGGTTATCATCTGTGCGCCTCCGTGGCCGCAGTTTGTCTGCGCTGGGAAAAATAATTAGGTAATATAAAAACCTAGGTTTTTGAAGGACACACTTTTATTGGCACTCAGAAGTAGAAACTTAATTATTTTGACCCCAGAATTAATCACGTTTGATGTGCTCAATAAAAGTGGGGGGCTCGCATAAAGAAAATAAAACATTGCAAGGATCATTCGTGATTTAAAAATGGGGGGGGGGGGGGTAAAATGTACGATTAATGATTAAAATGTAGTTAAAAATGCGAATAGGACCACGATTGGTTGGGACCTAGACCGATTTTTTTAATGGAATCTTGAATTGTCACGCAAGGCGAGTCTGTCTAGAAAATATCAGCTCGTTAGGCTTCGTAGATCCGAAGATCTTCTTTGGTTCTTTCGGTAAAGTCACGTAGAATGAGAATAAAATAATAAATTGATAAAATAACACAAATAAATAAAAAATATTATTGTGTTATTTTATTTTATCAATTTATTATTTTATTCTCATTCTACGTGACTTTACCGAAAGAACCAAAAAAGATGAATCATTGCAGTCACGAAAGCTTTAAATCGAAAGATCCGAAGATATTAAGCGTCAAAGATTCCAAAGAGTATAAACGGACAACAGGGCAGGTTCAATAAAAGTGCGTGTAAAAATAAAATAATGGCAGCCACGTCGACGACGAGAAACTTTGTGAACTCAAAATCATTTGGCTCGCTCTGTGCAACGTTCGGGCGGGTGGCCAGAGAGCGCGCCGCGTTAGGCGTGTCCAGCAGACGCGGCGTTTCATTTTGTTCCCATCGATCCTGTCGATGAAGTCCTGTCCATCACTTGGCGAGCTTGTATGGGACGCACTTGTAAAGCCGGAGGGACAAAAAAGCGCCTGGTAATTTCAAAAAGCGTCTTCGCTCGGCGCTCTCGCCGTGCGCCCACAAAACTTCCATTTCGCACTTCGTGGCGATGCGACCCGGGGTGGGGGGGGGGCGTTTCATTGCCTGCAGTGCAGCGAGGCTCCCCTTATCCGCGACCCGCTCTGTTCAAATTTTACTTTTTTCCCGCGGGTCGGATCTCTCCGCCCACCCGCGGAAATTTCACGGAAACGAAGGGGAGTGACGTGGCAGATCCCGTCCGTCGTGCGTTTTGTTCGTGGCTGTGCGTCGCCCAGAAGCGGTCTCCGGAACCGCTAAATGTCCCCTTGTCCATTATGTTTAAGGATCAAAGGGTGCACCGCTAACCATTGACATATAGCTGCTATAATCTGCATTCACCCGTGAGATTCCATCTGGATAAGGGGAGTTGACCTTCGCCCTAGTTGGGAGGTCGCTCATTCTCCTCCACAACCTCTCCCCCATTAGGAAGCAAACGTTGTTCCCCCCCCCAGCTGTCTGTGCTGTCGACTTCCTGCCCCAAGTCCAGGCTCAAGACCTTTGTTGTCTGCCTACGGCTGACTGCCTCTCTTTCGCTCTGTATATATAATCATTACGCACACTGTTTGAGTACAGTGCCTGAACATGCGGTCGTCACTCTTAGACGCCGCCGTATGAATTATATTTCCCGCCTCACTATTGCGGATGAAGATGGATAATCCATACTCTCTGGTTCTTTCGGTAAAGTCACGTAGGTATAAAATAAAATAATAGATCGCGACGCTTCGATCGCAACACAAGCGGTCGTCCTCACGACGTCGTGATTTATTTTATTTTCTACCCACGTGACTTTACCGAAAGAACCAAAGAGTATGGATTCCTGCGGTCACGAAAGCTTCAAATCAAGATGGATAATGTAATCCTATGGGTAGTGGCCCGTCGGTAACCCTGCCGTATTTATTGACAATTGTTGCTTCACGTTGCAGTGAATCGTACAGTGCAGTGTCTACACAATGCACCGAATTGTCCACGCGTTTGTCGACAAATGGATTTTGGAGAGCGAGGAGGTTGAGAGTCTGACTCGAGCGACTCCCAGAAGTAGTTCTGCCGCGTCGATATCCGGTAACCTTCCGCGGCGTGATGTTGCAATGCTGTTCTCATGAAGAGACTCTCCTTATCCTCCTGACAAGAATGCTGGCGCGTGCGCGGAGTGAGTGGCGATAAAATCGACAAGCCAAGAGACGATGATGATAATGTTGGTCCTAATAATGAAAGGTATTGCACCAATCAGCGTCGCGGAACTAAGTTCAGAGGCGCTTCTGTTGAATGCGTCCCCCCGTTCAGCTTGTGTGCTCGTCACAGTCACAGTGGCTTCCGGCTCGCATTAGCATTGAGGCAGGCCGTGCTCTACCCCGCAGCTCTGCAGAGCCAGCCATTTGTGGAAATTCCACATTTCCATGATGGGGGGGGGGGGGGGGGATGGGTGTCAGTGAGCTTAACCACAACGATGGGCCGAGTGAAACCCTGAACCAGGAGGCGTTCGCTCTTCCACTGGGCCAGCAGGCCGGGTGTGTGTGTGTGTGCGTGTGCGTGGGGAGCGGTGGGGCAGAATTTTGCGTGCCGCCCTACGAAACTGGCGACCCCGGTTCGATTCCCGCTCACGGCCCCCACACCGGTGACGATTCTCTGAACCGTTCCTGGGCCTCCCCCCCTAGGTCGACTCAGCCTTAAATGAGTACCTCGAGCGGTGTGTAAACATCACCCGCTCGGGAGACAAAGGCGGCCGGGCGCGGTGCTGGCCACCCACCCCCTCGTGTGCCGTGCCGGCCTTCATAGGGGCTACTCGCTAACAGCATTTGACCCAATAATCCGTTTGGGCTATACGGGGGATCGTAGTCTTTGCGGCCTCTGAATGCACCAATGGGGGTGGGGGCTGGGCTGCTTTAACAACCTCTGGTGTCTGGTTCGCGCGCAGGGCCTCCGAGGAAAATGGCGGTGAGTTTGAGAGACCTCTCCGGCGTCATGCTGCTCAACGGCATGGAGACGCAAGCGGGAGCCGACTCCCCGGGACCGGCCACCCCTCGCTCCCCGCCGGCGTCCAGCCCCGGCCCGGCGTCGCCGCCGCTGCCGCCGGCGCCGCCGTCGCCGACGCCGCCGCCCGCCGCCGCCTCCGCCGCTGACGCCGCCCGCCGAGACGATGAGCACCGGCGGTGGGCCCGCTTCGCCGGCGCCGCCAGAGACGCTGGCGCCCGCGTGCCGGCAGCTGCGGCAGGGCACCAGCATGACGCTCTTCCAGCAGAAGAAGTCGCAGCGTCCCGAGAGAAAGACCTTCCAGGTGGTGGGCGAGACGCGGCAGGTGGTCTGGTGGAGCCGTTCGCCGGACAAGACGGAGGGGATAGGTGAGGGGGAGCGCTTGCCGCGGCGGCGGTGGTGGCGGCGGCGGCGGTCGTCGCGCATGTCTTTTTGGGAGTGACTCCCGCCGTTACGCTGCACGGCTTGCCGGTGGGATCTCGAGGTTGTTGCCGCTTGACGTTGGGAAACGATGCGTCCACTATTGGCACCAACGTGCACGGGAGCGGCTCGGGGAATTTGTACGGCACGATTAGGAATCGGTGTACGGTTTGTGATTGCCTGCGGGAGTGCTTGGATGCGCGATCGCCCGTGGCTTGATATCAGCTGGTTAAGTGACCCCAAGTGGTAAGGCCCACTGGCTGCCACAAATAATAGCTCGACGAGAAGTGGCTTATCATTTGGTAATGTATTGTGGCCAAATGCTCTTAAATGCCTGTGTCTAATTGTGGGGGGAAAAATGCACACGACTACGGGGAGAGACACACGCAAACTCCGAATATACAGCAGGCGTCAGGGTTGGGATCGAACTCACGACCTCCTGTATACCAGGCGAGGTCGTTAACATCTCCTAGCCACCGCGGCGCCCTAAAATATTTCCGCACCCGGCACACAGCATTCTGTATGTCTCTCGCTGAGGCTGTAGCCTACTACTCTTGTGCCCGAGCCCTGGCAACCTCCGTGTAAAGACGGGCGTCCCGCTCTGCTCCTGCGAGGCCGCTTTGTGGCCAGCTCCGTTGTTGTACTGCACTATGCTTTGTAGTCTGCGCCGCCCGCCTTCACCCACCCACGCTGACCGGCGTGCGGAGAAGTACGGTCGAATGGTGTCTCCCGTGACCTGCACGGTGTGGAGAGTTGGCCCTCATCCAGCAGTGGATTGACAACATGGCTGTACGCGCGCGCAAGTAAACCTTTGTATTTTACGGGGCGTCTAAATGCGAGCACATCTCAAGACGCTATACAGCAACGGTGGGCGTATTAAATGTATTATATTTCAGCCTGTTTGGGATGGGAGCTCATTTCATATCCCCGCACATGTCAGGGCCTCCTATTAGCACGGTTGGCTATGTACAGTGCTAAAGAAAATGCATCATATGTACGTGCACACATCCTCCACCCACGAGAATAACAATGGAGTGGCCAGGCCTTTGTCCGGAAGTTCATCCATTGATCTTTGCTGATGACGACGATGATTAACGTGCACTCATTCCTTCGCTGCACAAAGTCTGCAGAGATGCGGTTTGTGTCGGGGGTTGGTGGTGGTGGGGTGGGTGGGGGGAGGTTTTCTTTTACAGGGAGCGTCACCGAATCGATGGCATCAGCCGGTCTTCTTCCCCTCCCCGTGTGCTGCCACCGCGGTCGCGTGCCTATCCAGTTTCGGGGTACGCGACGATGATGACGACATAGCCACGAGCGGATAGGCCTTGGCTCGTGATGGTGATGTGGCCCCGTTCTGTAGCCCTGGCGAAGTCCCCACGGTGCCACTGCTCCGGCGTATCAACAGACGCTCCGTGGCCGGCGTCTCACCGCAGTCGCACGCGGCGGTGCCGCTCGGGTCGCCGCACTTCCGCACGCTGCCTCGTGACCTCCCGACTCCCACTCAAAGCGTTCGAGTGATTGCGAGCCGAGTCGATGAGTGGGGTTGGCGAGTGAGGGGGTGAGGTGGGTTTCCAGAGAAGCCCCACTTCCTCACGTTGACTCCTGACCTACGGAGACCCGTTGGAAGGGGATTAAATACACCCGGGTCGACCGATCATTCTCTCTGCCGGTGGAGGTAGCGGCGGCACCGGTGGCACCGGCGACGTGTCGGCACCGTCTCTGTGTGTTGCGACGATGCCCGCGGTTGCCACGTCGGGCCCGGGATTGCTGTGTAGCCGTGGGGGATTTTTCTAAGGCGGATAAAGACGCTGCTGATATATCGCTTAAAAAAATATTGAATTTGCTGCACTCACAACACGCGTGCCAAATCTTGTGGGTGTCTGAGTTAATTATATAATTTCAGACTAAAAACGGGATGAACACCGCCAAATGTTTTTTTTTTTTATATATCCAGGCTCGGGGTGCAGCGCATGCCACTTGTGTTTGGCCACGTGGCGGTTAAACCTGATGATGCTGGTTGTTGTTGTTGTAATCACCGGCGAAACCTCACGGACACTCAAATTGAAAATCTTGTAGTGGGTTTACTCTCCACCACACCGGTGTGCTAATTGGCACGTTTTGTTTACGTGACATAACCCCAATAAAACCTCTTATGGATAATCTTGGTTGCGAAAGCCTACGTGTTAAACTGAACCAGAGTGCTTGATGGAGCGGCTGAATTTTAAGTGAGGTTTCAGTTTTGCGCCCAGCGGCCGGTAACCGTCAAACTCCGCTCTGCTCGACAGAGCCCTCGGCTTGGATGTGAACCCAGCAGCTCCAGCGGTGTTGGCTCCCGCGTTGTCTCCTCCGAGCGGCCACCCTCCGCCGCAAGTCATTCTCCGTCCACTGCTGGATGCGCGGCGAGTCCGCGGGACAGGTCTCGCGTTGTTTGTAGGGGGTGGCGTGTCGTTAATGCCCCACCCCCCCACCACCGCATCGTAAAAAACAATCGCGTCACGGAGCAGGATATCCCGGCCAAGGTGTCGCTGTGTTTTTTTTCTTTCTCATTGTAGAAGGGGAAACAAACAACAGGACTTACAAAATGGGCAAAAAAAAAGGCTTCGACTTCCAGGCATTCTCTTTGAAACAATAATAAAGCAGCGGCAGCAGCGGCAGCAGGGGCAGCGGAGACGGCAACATTCGCGGCGGCGACGGCGCTCTCGCCCTTGACGCCGAGCCTCGTCCTCGCAGAAGCGGGGGAAAAAGCGCATTTTGGTCAGTCGTTGGGGAGGCTTTTGACCATACTTCACCACTCTCGTCAGTGCCGGGGGGGGGGGGGGGGTTGGTTACGGTGGGAGAGGCGGGGGCGGGGGTAATCCAGGACCGTGGCCGGGAACGGACGCCCGGGTCGCCTGTTCCGTGACGCGTTTTCGAACGTTTTGCTGTTGAGTATTTTACGGAAGGCGCCTTGAGCGGGCGCGGGCATTGAAGTGCCTCTGCTAAAATGCACCCCGTTTACCCGCGTGGTTTAGGGCCCATGGTTTGGTAACGTATAAAACGAGACTCTTTTGTTCGCGGCCGAGGGGACGGCGGCTCGCACATGGCTGGTTGTTGTGGCCGGTTGTGGTTGTTGTGGCCGGTTGTGGTTGTTGTGGCAGGGGCTGTTGGGAAGTGGCGGTCGTGTTGTGGCTGCGAGCGCTTCCTCTCTGTCGGCGATGGCGACTGCGCTCGCCTCCGGCGATCGGCGTAGCGTGCTCGGCCTGGGCCCCTGGCGCAAGGGATGGCTGTTGCAGGGCGATCCTCAATTCTATAATTAATCGTGAGAAAGTGATCGTTAGAGAAAAACGAGTGATGAAAAAATAAGAATAGGCTTTGCCCCTTTTTGGCAATTAAGCATGAGGTGTTCGGATGTTCATACACAAAATAGAAGTATCTGTTGCGAGGCATCAAGTCTGCATTAACCACACGTACTTGTGGCAAAACATGCAAACAAAACATGCTCTGATAATATCCTTGCATTGTCTTTGAAACCGATTGGCCTACACGAGAGAAAGCCGACTTCTTTATGGCTGCTTCCCACCCGTGTGAGACTAGAGAACAACGCCAAAAGGCTTATTTTTTTTCATCATTTTTATACTGGCAAAAAAAAAAAGGTCCCAGAAGAGAAACCCCCCGATTGATCATCGAAGGCGGATCATGAACTCAAAGTGTGGCTTTCAAAAGCATCTTTTTGCGGTGAAGCTTTGCTCGTTCTCACCGTGTTTTGCCGCCAAATTCTGCCTTTTGCCGAAGGCGTTCGGGCGCTTCCAGCGTGTGGCTCTCGCGCGGCGGGTTTTTTCGTTTCCACACTCGGCCCGTCGATAAATCTGCACTCGGGACGGGCTCTAGATAGATAGCATAATGGGCGGGCGGGCCGGGCGGGCGCCGTGTAAGTGAAGGGTCGCGCCGGCGTCTGAGAGCGTCCGCTGAGCCGAAGGACTTTTTTTCCCTCCCCGCTTCTCGCATCGAGATTTGCGTCCCCGTCCTCCCGGCTATGACCGGATGCTCGGTCGCCCTCGTTCAGTCCACGCTCAAATGTCGGGGGGTTAATGATGGGGGAAGGCGGAAGAGGTGACCCGGATCAAATGAAAACACGGATGATGCAAACGGTTTGTAAATTAGGCCACGGGACGTGTTTATTAGTTGACCTATTGTGGAATGGGGGGGGGGGGGGGGTGTGACGGTGGATGCCACAGTCATTTGTTGTACTTGCTGTTTTTACATTGCCGACGTCTTTGCTGCCACGTTGCCACCGTGGCAGAGAGATGGGGGGGGGAGGGGGGAAGTAACTTGGAAGTTCGGGAAGGCGACCAGGGTTTGGCCGGGTATCGTGTCGGGATTTTTGCGCCATTGTCATCGTTCCTCCGTCCCGGATATAGACGGGGCTACCCTGAGTCTGGTGCGGGTTGGGGGGGCAGTGGCAGAGAAATGTGCGAAGCCTCGTAAGTAGAAGGCGGGGGCCACGAAAGCCCAAAGCGCGATGCCACTCGCCGCCGTGCGAGGCCGGGGGGCTAGCGGCTGGGTGGGCGTGGCTGTGTGAAAGCGGGGCGGGGCTGACCCGCGGGAGAGAGAGAGAGATGGAGGGGCTTGCCAGCTGCTCCACCCGTATCCTGGTTGAGCCTCCCTGAACTTTATCAGCTGCAATAAGCAAGCTATCTAAACTCTGTTTGAGTATTGTCTTCTCCCCTGTGGGGGTTTTTTCCGGGCTTTCCGATTTTTCCTCTGACCAGCACGAGATACTCGGTAACAGAAAGTGGGCAAACAACCCCGAGGCGAATTTCTCCGTAAAAGAATTCTCGGGCTCGTTGAGACTTTTCTGCGTAAAACGGACATTGATTTTTTTCTCTCTCTCTCTCGCACATTATTGTCGAAAATATTCGCGGAAATGATTGTGCGTGTGAATACTAAACTAAAAGTAAACTATTTTATGTTT